CATCATATTACGTTACTAGACACTCTGATTCTCGGACACGAACATGAAATGAATACACTTCCCACGTAAGTAACTCATCCCATGGAAAGCTCTGACAAAAACTCACGTGACCTAGGGGAGGCCTAGCAGGTGGTCCTGGGTTGTCTCTATGAGAGACTGCTTAGCTGGGCGCCGGAGGGAAGTCTCGGTCCTGAACGGAGGCGACTGCCTCCGGTCCTCTCTGCCTCCTCTCGAGCGGGCCTGGTGGTGTAGTAGCTGGCCCTTACTCCTTACAAGACACACTCTCTCTCTCTGTCTCTCTCTGGCTCTCTCTCTGGCTCTCTCTCTGGCTCTCTGACTCACTCTGCCGGGAGGACTAGGACGTCCTATATATTGGGAGGTGAGCCCTCAGGTTGAGCTGATAGGGGGGGGCGGTGAAGGGTCTCCTTACATTTGACCTGGACAATGTGAGGTCAGGTCTGGACTTTTTCAGATGTAGGTTATTGTGTATTTTGGGAGAGAGTCGGCCGGTGCCTTCTTACATGTTTGTTGTGGTGCCGTGTCACATGGGAGGGGAGCCTGGCTGATTTATAACCCTTGGTCAACCGTGAGAGTTACCCTACACTTGACCTCCCTAATGTCGGGTCAAGTTTGGACTGTCTCTGAGATGCAAGCTGCGGTCTGACAACCCATCACTACACTATATATATATATATATTTAAATATATATATATATATATAAAAAAACCTGGTATATGTCCTTATTTACCGTATATACCCGTGTATAGCACGAGTTCTTAAGACCAAATTTTTTGGCAAAAAGTTGGGGGTCGACCTCTATACGGGTAATAGTTTCGTTAGGTTGAAAAATATTTACCAGTAACTACCAGTAAACAATGGAAATGACACACCAACACACCACCAGCTGTGAGTGTCGGTACAGTTGCTAGGGCAGATCTCTTGCGTCATCATAGCAAGCCCAAAGTAGCCAAATGCATGGTATGGTATGCACAGGACGATGTAAAACATAAAGTATTCATTTATTAAAGTTTATTTATAGATACTGTACATAAATTTTTGTTCATTACATTTGAAACATTAATCTTTGTTAATTAAATTTGAAACAAAAGAAAACTACGATACCGTATTTCTAAATACCTGGTATTTTCATTAAAATATAACATCACAAGTATATTTTACCTTAACTGTGACTGAATGAATATAGGTATTCTCAGAAATAAATATGGAAATATAATATTTTTGCTGGAATGACGTACATATTACAGTGGAAAGACGAAAACAATGACTTTCGCTTTCTTTCGTTATTCAAAAGATTTTACCGTAATCACTTTTCGAATGGTTTTCAGTTAAAAAACTGTTGTACTCGTACTGTATTACAATAATATTCTATCCTATCATTAGCCTTATAATCCCACAACTGAAAACCATTCGAAAAGCGATTATGGTAACATCTTTTGAACGAAAGAAAGAGTCATTGCTTTCGTCACAATTTTATCCCACTTTCCACTGTAATACGTACATCATTTCAGCAAAAATATTACATTTCCATGTTCTCAGAAATAAATGGTAGTTTTGTTGAAACGTAATGTACAATATTTAATATTAAAATGCAAAAATAGCTATAAAAACAGTTAATACACCCGTAATGTACTGGCTGGTATCTCCACTCGTCCCTGCTCCCGCGTCCAAGGTCACCACTCCTCCCAACTCGCTCCCTCCTCACCTCCTCTGCCTCCTCCACCCCCTCTGCCTCCTCCCCGCCACTACTGCTGACAACGAACACAAATGTTTTGTGAATAACTGCACCTCCACTTCCTATGTACAGTACTGAACTGTACTGTGCTGTGCATTTTTACAAACAATAAACATGGCAAGAAAAGCTATTAAAAAAAGAGATAAAAAGTTCACTTTACTGTACAGTACCTATCCTCGGCGACAGGACGGGGGTCATCGGGCTCATCGTCACTCAATTCCATAACGGGTGGTGAAGTGGGGGCGACGGTGGATTCAGCTGCTTCCTCACTGCCGCCAGTGAATGATGGTGTTAAATCTCTCCTTTGGTGATCAAAGAACATGGTGATGGGGAGTTGTCGTCTCTTTCTTTCATTTTTTCCATGATGTTTTTGTATGGAGCGAAAACATCATCCATCCCTCGCATGAATTTCAGGGCACGCACCATGGAGGGGTCCATACTATAGGCCAGGTTTTTCAGTGCCTCAATATTCCTGGTCATCTCCCCCAACTTCTCCAACGTTATTTCTTGGTGCTCTTCCTCATCCTCTTTCCCTTTCGCTTCCTCTTCCTTGCCTGAGTCTACTAACTCCTATAGATCCTCCTCGGTCAGCTCAGTGTTGTGCTCTTTAATTAGCTCCCTAATCTCGTCCTCTGCCATGTCCCGGAAGCCTTCAGCAGCCACTTTCCTTGACAGTGCCAGGGTCTTTCTGAATATTTTCATTAAAATCCATCAAAATCATTTTCCTTGTCATCGTCTTAAGCACCAAACAGCTCCTCCTAGTCTTCTCCTTGAACAGGGCTAGAGGGTATGTGTTTTTCGAATCGTTTTCAATTAAAAAAATGTTACAGCACATGTATATTTTACCTAAACTGTGCCTGAATGAATATATTCTCAGAAATAAATAGTAGTTTTGCTGAAACGTGATGTATTTCAATGTAAAATAGGATAAAATACATGACGAAAACAAAAGACTTTACCTAACCTTCCAATGTTCAAGAGATGTTACTCTGCCTAACACCCGGAATACCTTGCAACACATGTCGCCATGCATGACGAACAGTTGCTACAGACAGCTGATCCCATGCCTCCACCAAGAAGTCCACAGCTTTCTTTACGTTGAATGTTCTCCAAAATTGTCTCACAAGTACTTCTTGATCTGCCAACTGTTGATCCTCGTCGTCTTCGCTCTTGCTATCGGTGTTGGTGTCACTCAGGTTACGCAACTCTTCCTTGGCGTTGGTTTAGTCGTTCAGGAGGTAGGAGCCAGCGAGTGTGGGAAGAGGGGGGGGGAGGGTTGAGTCGAGTCCATTATTTGAATGGACATTAACCTGGCGACTGCATTTCTCTTAAATATTAATTGTGTATGTGCATACCATCATAAAATTAAGATGTTAATTTTACTACAACATAGGTATTGTGTCGGGAAAAGTGGAGTTTGGGGGTCGGGCCAGTCTCTATTCTCTATTGGAATTAATCCCACATGTTCTGTTGTTCACTTTCCACGGTACCCCGTGGGTTCAATTGACCACGTAAATCGTAAATCAATCGTAAATCGGGGTACTATACTGATATATATATATATATATGTATATATATATATATATACACACACACCCATATACATATAAATTACAGTGGAATTGAAAAACACAAGTATAATGGGGGAGCAGTACAACCTGGGTTGTACAGTAATAAGGTTGAACAAGAGGACAGAGCTTTCAGGATTATGTCTAGTTGGCAATTATGTTTATTGCAATGTTAATTACTTATTTATTTACATGATAATTTCCGATAAAACGGTTTTGATGGTACAATAAAAGCAGGTACTGTAAATATAGTAAGTGTTACAAGAAGTATTAATACTTTGACAATAGATATTTTTTTAGAGATGATTTAAAGGAAGGGAGCTTAGTCTTTGCTCGGATGTGTGGGGGTAAGTTGTTCCACACCTTCACACCATGATATTTTATGGAGGTCTGGGACAGAGAGGAGCGCATGGGGGGTGGTCTTAGTAGCTCTGGGTGCCTTAAGTTGTATCTCTGATTATTCCAGAACTGGAAATAATTATTGTCAAGCAAGTGATTGATAGATTTGTAAACAAAGAGGGCACAACAGTAAGTGTTAATATCCTCGAATTTTAAAAATTTCAATGCAATATAGCAAATTTTTCGTTTGTGTGATCTGTTATTTTCAAGTAGGTCATTGTCCGTACAACTCTCTTTTGTGCAGTAACCAGAGATTGTGTTTTTGAAGAGCCAGAGGCTGTGAGAGTGAGTGACTGAAGAGTGTGATACATGATAATGCACTGTTTATTGATTTTACTGTGAATGGCTTGTATGTGGTTTCTCCAGTTAAGTTTCTCATCAACAATAACTCCGAGGAATTTAGTATTTTGTTCGCGTTTGAGGACTATATTATCAAGGTACAGGGAGTCCAAGTCTGGAGGTAAGTTTTTTCTTCTGTGAAAGATCATGTAGTGGGTGGTGGATGAGAAGGGAGAAGAGAAGGAAGTGGGGATGGAGGAGAAATCACCTTTCAGGGGACCCATGCTTGATGCAGTAGTTTCACCAATAAAATTATAAGTTCACTCGGTGTAATTCAAGATTATTTTATAAATCAATGCTGCACTGTGCTATATATTATCAATATGGTAACTAAATTTCAGAGTGACCAATAGTTTTAATGTAAAAATGCAAAAATATTCAAGACACCAACAAAATTGATTTTCACTCCACTGTCAACAAAGCCAAACTGACACCTGGTGGCTGAGTCAAGCAGCTGATGGGCACACAAAAAACTAGTTCCCTATACTCCATATATTACAATATGTTAACTAAATTTTAAAATGACTAATACACTATTGTAATATAAAAAATGCAAAAATATTAAAGAGCACAACTTTCTTGATATTTAATCCACTGGAAACAGATGTAAACATAGAACAGATTACTGAATTGGCAGACTAGTTCATCATCTGATCAGCTGATGCTCACAACAAAACATTTTTTCGTAAGGATTTCATTAATCGAAGTTTTGTTCGTTAACCGAATTGAAGATCCTTATGGGAGGCAATTCGTTAAACGAGGGACCACTGTATACGAGTATATATGAGTACGACCTTTCTCGTAAATTGGGTACGGGTTATCTTGTAATTGGGTACAACTTGACATGTCCAGCACCCTTTAATATTGAGAGGATTGTTAGCTATCACCTACATCTGATAAAGCACATTAATAAATAATCGTCCTGATGCTATTTCTTACAGCAATGGAACAGTTACCAGAAGATGAAACTGAACGACTCATTCATTGTCATCCAACTCTCAGTAAACGTGCCGCTGAAGATGATCAACCTATACCAAAGAAGAGTAAGTAGTTACCCAGTAAATACTGCAATGGTGTTTCACTTCTGGTGTTCTGAAATTGTACAGTAAAGTACTGGAACACTGTTATCATTCAGCTCTGAAGGGCAATAAGTAGTGGTCCTCTGAAGTAATATCTAGTGTTTTTGATAGTCTTAAGTAATGTTATTATCTTACAAAGCCCATTGAATTTATTGGTGGGAAATTCTACACTTGCTTAAAATTTTAGCTTTAACTTTCAGAAAAAAAGAAGTTGAAAGATCTGGAGGCAACTCTTGATGCTGGGGCTGATAATGAAGTTACACCTGAAGTGAAACTTAAAAAGAAGAAAAAGAAAAAGAAAGCGCAGGAGTCCGGTACAGTACAAACAGAGATAAATGAATCCGTCCAAGAGGAGGGAGAAGAGGATGTAAGCAAAACCGAAACTAACGATGAGGGAGAAGAGACAGGTTATGAGAGTGAAGAAGGTAGAAATGGTAAGTAAAGCATATTTTGGTTTTTAGAAATAGCAATGTTTTTGTCACAAATTGCTGAGTTACTTTTGTTTTTGTGTTTAATCTTGCAGTCCCTTTATCACAGGATGGCTTGAAATGAACAGCACATACTCTCTCATTTGCCATTATTAACCCTTAAGCCCTGGGTTAGGGTGCTGCTGGCAGTACCCCCCACGTGGGGATAAATCGAGAAAAAAATCAACATTTCCAAAAATAATAATAAAAAAAAGGGGGGAAAATAGGCGGACGTTCTGGACGTCACCCGGGGCGTGCTAGTCGAACATTCTGGAACGTCACCTGGGGCCTAAGGGTTAATTCTTTCTGGCATCCTTACTATATACCAGGGGTCGCAAAACCGCGGCTCTTTGACACTCAATGTGCGGCTTGCGAAAATATATTGGCTCACCTCTTTTTTTCATCATAATTAATATAAAAGGTACCGGTAAATAAGAAAAATGTTTGAGCTTTATATTTATAAACTGAGACTCCACTGGATTAAAACTCAAGTTAAATATTCAATGTGAGTACAAATATTTAAGAATTTAAATTTTAATTTTAATGCTAGATCTGGGTCAGGTGTCGTTCATCAGTGCTGAGGGGAGGGATGGTGGGAGGTAGAGGGATTAAAGAAGTTTCAGGTCAGCAAATCTCCAGTCAGTAAATTTAAGGTCAGCAGAGGGATTACAGAGGAATGTCAGATGCCGGGGGGGATGGGCTTGGCAGGTCAGGGCCCGGCTTCACGTCATGTCATGTACATTAACGCAGTGTAACACACGACTTTGAACTGTGCAGGTCTAGGTGGTACTTGTTAGGTGTTCTGGGTAATAAGTTCTATATACAGGAGAGAACACAAACACCTGTATAGTTTTGTAGGTTCGGTTTACTGGATAAGAGTATGTACACAGAGGTGGGTAGCACTGCTCCCTAGCTAAGCTCCTGGTCAACTACTATAGACGACGTATGGCAAGTGATACATTGGCAGCTTCCATACGTCGCCAGGCACATTAATTAAGCATGTGGGATATGGTAATAACATTGCCACACGCTGCTAGCTAGGCTGAATAAATATAAATGGAGCACATACATAATATACATACATAATACATAATCCAGCATACATAATATACATACACCTCCCTCCCCCCTATACGCTCATAGCAAAGTCTTGAGCGGACCTTTTCTTCTGGATCCGTTCTGAGCGTCGAGGGACTTCATCACTGGGAAGGGTATGGGACTCAACACTGGTGGCGGGGTCAGCAGAAGGCATTGTTACGGGGCGGAGAAAACGGCGGTTCCTCCACCACACACGACCACTGGGTAACCGCACCTGGTAGTCCCGTGACCTGCCGAGACCCATGACTACGCCTACTTTGTCCCAACGTAGGGAGGTCGGGTCCTGAACACGGACTTGGGTACCGACACTCAACCTGGGGAGAGAACGGGCGTGGTCGTTGTAGCGGGCGACGACGTCCTGAACACGTTCGGCGGCTCGGCGATCACAATCCTCTGTCTTAGCCTGCCACCTGGAAGATTGCACCTAAGCCATACCAAACCGTTATGGAGTTCCGCCAGCACCCGTCGGCTGGCCCGCGAGTCATTGAGTTCCTGCAAGGCCACCTTAAGGATGAGGTGCTTCAAAGATTTGACAGCAGCTCAGCGTGGGTCGTTGGACTCTGGGTAATGGGGCGAACACATGCCGGACTCCCATCG